GCGCGCTCGTCTGCTACTGGGCTCGAGGTGCTGGGCCCCTGCGAGGAAGTGTCCGGCCGAACTGCGCGCGTCGCCAGAATGTGATTTGTGCCTGGCTTTGCAGGGCTCTCTTGGCCACCGGCCGCATGCTTGCCCGCTCTTAAATAACCTTCCAGAGGATCTCGAAATAGAGGCTTCCCCAGATGATGTCTTGGAGCGCAGGTCTGCTTTAAGGGGCGAGGGGTGCTGGGCTCTCGCGGCTGATGCCCTCCCCTTTTATCCTCTCAGCTCCCCCCCAGGGCACGAATGCCCTGTGCTCCAATAGGGTGCAACCTCGGAGGGATGGGGGCAGCGCGTCTATGCTGTTCGGGACTGGCTAGTGCCAGTCCCGAACTTAATCGGTTTGGATGGTCCGTCGTCGAGACGGGCCCCTGCGGGGTCCCCGCGAGGTCTTTTGCGGGCCTCTGCCTGGGCGCCAGACGGCGCCCCGCGCCGAGCGCTTCGCTGGTATGTGGGCGATTCAGGTTGCCCCCCAAGCGTCGAGGTTTGCACGGGCCACCTTTCGCCCGTCAAAGAGGGGGCCTCTTGGGGTGCGTCCTTGGGTTGGGCCCGCTCTCTCCCTGCTGATCGTTGGCGTGAGATGATTGCATGCACCGAGGGCCGCCCTAGGCACAAGCTGAAGCGGGGCCCCTGCCCACCGTGAGCACGACGATGTGCTCCACCCATCTCGGCGCGACACTGAAGATTATTGCGAGAACCCCTGGGCCGATTTCTTTGCGAAGGTTGGCTCGTCAATTCAGAAGGCCCCTGACATTGCGGTGCAGGTGGAACGAACGTGCACTTCCAATCTCAAGAAACCTTGGGATTGTACCGGTCCTCGCCTAGGTGACCCCGCGGTCCTCGCTGCCCCTGCTGCTGCCTCCGAGGTCTCGGGGTCGCCTCCCGCCACCTCCTCCCATGCGGGGCCAAGGGGGTCCTGTGAGCGTGGGCTGTTCGGTCTGGGCGGTGCTGAGAATTCGGAGGCCCTGTCGGGGCTGCCCCGCCGTGCCGATCCTGGAACTAACCTTGCCTCCTCCTTGAGCGGGGTCCTGGGGCCGTCGATGCCCCCTCCTAAGCCCGCCTCTGGATCGGCCTGCGATGGTGGCCTCGAAATTTTTAGAGTCTTGCAGCCCCGCCCCGAGCGACGTGGGCGGGTTCACATCTGTCAGTCTCGCGCGTGCTCCCTCGTGTTGTCTGATGGCCACTGTCGGGGCCTCTAGGAAGAGTGTCGAGGCACATCGCGGGTGAAGGCAGCCCACGATGGCCACCTCCGCAGGCTTCCGCTCGCTGCCCAAACAAGCACCCGAGGACCGACTGCCCGCCGCCGCCCTGCGCCTCGAGGGGGCGGCTGCTCTCTCTGGGGAGCTGTGGGGGCGGGGGCTCGGTCGGGAAGGGGGTCTGACGAACTTGTCACCGCCCTGGCCTTGCGACCTCACAAGCGCCCAGGGCGGTAGTTTCGTATTTCTTGCCCTCGGGCTCGGTGATTGATCGGGCCCCACTTTCCACAGCGTGAGGCTATCGACCCGACTGCCTCTCAGCTGGCTCGCGCTCGCCATCCTCCTCCTCCTTCTCCCCCTCCTCCCCCCCTCGCCCCCCTTCCCCTCCCCCTCCCCCCCCCCCCTCCTCCTCCTCCTCCTCCCTCCTCCTCCTCCTCCTCCTCCTCCTCCTCCTCCTCCTCCTCCTCCTCCTCCTCCTCCCACACACCTGTTCCCTACGCGTTTCCACAACGGCTTGGGGAACACGTTGCCCAACAGCTTGCTAAGACTTTGGCCCAACGTTTGGCCACGGATGAGCTTCCCGAAGGCAGGGGGCGGCGGTGGTCCTCCGTAGGCGTCTTCGATTCAAGCAAGTGTTTGCGAACTCTTAGGTGTATACACTATTCGGGGAAAGGTATTGAAAAAAGGGCCCTGCGACACACAAATAACTACACACAGATAACAGGATTACCCATCTGTGTCCATATTGCATGGGTTTGTGTATTCCCCCCACTTCCAATTTTTTCTGGGGAATCGACGGTGCGTTTTTGTTGTTGTTTGTTTTTTCCCCCTCCCTCTCCTGATATATAATCAGCAACCTGCGAGAACTCGTGGATTTCAAGGGAACACTGCACTGATTTTGTGCCGCCCAACGTGGAAAACCAATCCTCGCCGAGACCACCCGCCCCCGTGTTGCACCAGTGGTCAGCAGGGGGAGCTTGTTCATCGCGCATGGTTCTGCATCCCACCCTGGTGTCTGAAATGTCATGCGGAACGAGCCAGCTAGTAGACCAAAAGCGAAGCGCAAGCTGCAACACGGTCCCACGTTGTGCGTGGCCTGCCCGTCGAACGTCGCAACCATCACTGCTACCATGAGGGACGCCAGGTCAGGAAACGGAGGGGCTCTGCTGGCCGCGGCGAACTTCGGCCACGAGGAAGGTTCCACGACCCAACTCCGAGAACCGGCCTAGAAACCAGAACCCCTCATGAGCCCAAACTCCCGCCATCGCTCGCACGTCCATTCCCCGTGCGTTGTTTGGTTACGTGCGTGCTAGCTTGCTTTGATCACGGTGATCCAAGATGCACCAACGTGGTGCAGATGTTCTGGCGTTGGCCTCGCCGAAAGGAAACATGCCCGTAACATGCCCACGTCCGAACGATTCCAAGAAATGGTCCATATTTGGAATACCATGTGGGACTTGCTCTAGGGCAGGAACATACCGTAGACGGATCTGCCCTTTCTCCAGCCTTGTGCAGCACCGAATGCAACGACTGCGGTGTCTAAAGACACGCCCACTGTGTCTATTGACGTCTGCGGCTAGAAAGCGGGAATGGTGTCTGGCATAAGCCCCAGAGAATGGTCTCCTGGAAGCAGGTCGACTTTGCTATCCAAGTCCTTATGTCAGCGCCTTGACCGTCGTTCAATCTTATGGGAGGGCGATGTTTACTTCCGCCCACTTCGGTCGGCTTCCGACGGCGGAAGCGGCCTCGTTTCACTTCCGCCGCCTTCCGCTGGCCTTCCGCCGAGGAAGATGCATGAACTTCTTCGGTCCTCGAAAGCAAGGCCCTTTCTGGAATGCCTCACTCGTCGAGACGTGACTTGGACTTGGGGGACTCGGGTTGGCCTGACGGGGCCGTCAGGAAGATGACGAGACCCAATCTGAAACTTGACGCGAACTCCCGCTGCAGACATCCCACGAAAACTGCATCGTCAAAACCCAGGGCGGGCTCGTCAAATGGGACGCACGGATACATACCAATACTATATGTCCTCCTCGGAGGCGCGCGTCCGACCCGAACACATAGTATACCCATGTTGTAGTAGATCGTTTCCCGAGTGGTGCGGCCAGAAAGCGCCCGCCACGACGCATATACTGCAAGATGTCTCGGTGCGTGCGGCGCCCCTGGGGGGGGGGCGACGCACATGTAGCATAAGCATGTTGGGCTGACGCCGATCAAACTGCGTCGGCCAACCACCTACTGAGAAGGCCTCGTCCTCTTCACCTCCTTCCTCTCCTCCCTCTCCTCCTCCTCCTCCTCCTCCTCCTCCTCCTCCTCCTCCTCCTCCAGATTCTCCTCCTCCTCCTCCTCCTCCTTTTCCTCCCCCTTGACGCCCAGGGAACTCGAGCCTCGCGCTTCCCCGACCTGCGTGTCGGCGCCCTCACCGTGGCGGCGAGGCGCTGCCCGAAGCGGCGGCGGCGGCGGCGGGGGGGCGGCGCGGCGCAGGAGAGCCGCCCCGCCGACCCGCCCCCCCGGTCGGGCGAGCGCGCGAGCGCGCCTCCCGCTTCGCCCTCCGCCTGGCCTCACACGGGGGGGGGGGGGGGGGCAGCAGGAGAGGCAGCCCGAGGAGGAGGAGGAGGAGGAGGAGGAGGAGGAGGAGGAGGAGGAGGAGGATGCTGTTGAGGATGATGATGCTGATGATGATGCGGATGATGATGATGCTGATGATGAGGAGGATGATAATGACGACGGCGAGGCCGAGGGGGATGAGGAGGGCGAAGAGGAGGACGAGGAGGAGGAGGAGGAGGAGGAGGAGGAGGAGGAGGTAGAGGAGGAGGAGGAGGAGGAGGAAGAGGAGTAGGAGTAGGAGTAGGAGTAGGAGTAGGAGTAGGAGTAGGAGTAGGAGGATGAGGATGAGGATGAGGAGGAGGAGCGAGGATGAGGAGGAGGAGGTAGAGGAGGACGAGGAGGTGGAGGAGGAGGAGGCGGAGGCAGAGGAGGGCGAGGACGAAGAGGATCACGACATCGACGAACAGCGGACAATGACGACGACGACACAGACAGCAGGTCGAGTAAGCAAAACCCGCGCCTTCGAAAGAGCCCAGGCCGGCGGGGGAGAATTGGAAGACTCGAAGCGGGAAGGATCGAATGAGTGTGTGCGTCGGATCGGGCCGCATCGGAAAACAGTCGGGCGCAAATTGAATCGGCCGCGCCTCATGACGACGGGTGCGCGACGGTGGTGACGAGCGCTCGAGATAGTTTTGTCCTGCAGGGCGCCCGCTGATACAAAAAACGTACCGGGCGAGGCTGCCGAGGCGGGGAGGGCCGCCCGTATCTCAACATGGCCCCAATACTATAGTTCATACATGAGCTGGGCCCAATTGCACAAACGGAGGTCCTGCCCCGCTTTCGCCCCCCCCGATCCCGTGACGGGACCGAGAGAGCAGCTTGTTGCTAGAAGTGCCCTCTAGCCCAAGGTGCCACCAGGACCTCCAAGGAGGCCACCAAGGCCCCCAGAGCACCCCTCACGAGGCCCAGAGGGCCCCAGGGGCTTCAGAATGGAGCGAAAAGCTGGGGGCACCTTGGGCCAGGGGCACCTTTCGCAACCCCCGGTGTGGGCACGCCGCGGCCACCCGCGGGCCAGATCTCCCTTGAGAAGGGACCGAGCGTCCCAGTATTCCTATAGGACTACCACGACATGTTTTCATATCGGAAGGGTGACCGAATGACAAAAAGCAATGTTCTGAGACACTCTCAACCATCATATTCTAAGAACATGTCGTGCAAGCCGCACAAAGCTATTCCAGTATTCTTTGGTGGGCCTTTTTGCAAGCCGAGGCACCTCGCCACTGCTCAGCTCCCAGCGGACATGGAAGGGGCAACCACCGGCAGCTTGTGTGCCCAAGGCCCCTTGGGCAGCGCTGTCGCCCGGGCAGCGACGCCCCAGGAAGAGGAGGAGGAGGAGGAGGAGGAGGAGGAGGAGGAGGAGGAGGAGGAGAAGGAGGAGGAGAAAGAGGAGCATGAGGAGGAGGAGGAGGTGGAGGAGGAGGAGTGAGTGAGTGAGAACAGTCGCGATGCGAGTCGAAACGAACCTACGAGCGCTTACGAGCGAGCTTCTCGGCCTTGCTTAAAGCCTTTGGCCATCGATCGGTTTCGATCCGATTTAAATACTCAGCTCGATTCGCATTCGTTCGCCTGGGACATTCTTGACCCAAGCACCTGATGACATTACTGGCATAGTACCCGCACCGCGAGCAAAACCAGAGGCCCAGGGATTGATGCAGACGCATTGTGTGGCTACGATGTACCCAGCCCCCCCCTACATGTAATGTAACCCCCGACGGCAACGCAGAGAATCTACCGTCCACTGGAAGAGGTTTAAAACAAGGGGATGAAATCCACTCGGACTTGGCGGCCTGGGTAGCGGAGCTACAGCATATTTTACAGCGCTTGCCAGAATCATCAAGGACGTGACTAGTTGCAAACTGGCGGCACACAGAAGGGGCTGGAGGCGGCGGTGGTTCACACGCAGCCTCTTTTTTCCTCCTCGGTCCACCGACTTTCGCCAGCTCACGCTCAGCATCAAGTGAATCGATCGTGGCACGAACAAGCCTGACACGAATCTGATAGGCCTCTTTTTATATCTTGTGCACACGATAACGTTCGGACTCGTCCAATCGCACACGACTGGCAGCCAGCCCAGCGAGCTCGTCCACCGCCGCGCTGCCGACCGCAAGCTGCCACGGCGCAACTCTCTGGGCAACCTGCAGCGGGGACAAGTGCGAGTTCACAAAGAGGACTGTGAACTCCGCTGGGTCCCGCCCCGTGAGGGCCTGGCCGACCTGGTGCCACAAATCCGCGTCCTCGCCGACGGGCCGCAAGTACCTCCTCGAGTACCAGCCGTCCGCCACGCCACTGTTGTCCGTGACGAAGTTGACCACTCCGCTCGACATCCTGACTGCCGTGAGCAGGGCGAGCAACTCTCCGCGGGGCACACTCTGCCGCACCCCTGGGAGCCCGCCCATCACCATGCCGTCGACGACCAGCGGGTCGTAGCACCTGATGCTAATGACCGCCAGCCCGACGCGCCTGAAGCGGCTGTCGGCCGAGTCGGCGCCGCCGCTGGCGTCGCCGAACAGCCACAGAGGCTGCTGGGCCGAACCGACCCCGAAAGCCAAGCAGTCGTCGTCGGCCGCGGCTGTGCCTGCAACGAGCCACTCCTCGGCCATCTGCGGGGGACTCACCGCAGTCCAGGCTGCTGGGATCATCCCCCGCAGCCAGTAGCACTCCTCGCTCTCGTGCCTGCTGAAGGCCTGCGCCAACAAGTCCTGCGACCGATCGTAGGCGGGCGAGCCGACGTTCTTGCAGCACGCCCACCCTCGATGGAACATGGTCTCGGGCTCCTCACCGCACCGAGCGCAGAGACGCGACAGCCCGAGCGCCTTCGCCCCTGCCGCGTCAACTCGCCGATCCCTCGGCCAGCTGCCGCCTGACGCCACCATGCTGAGCACCTCCGCCATCCTGTTACCCCTCGACATGCTGGCGAACTGCTGGTAGAGCTTGCGCAGCGGCACCATGTCCACGCCGTGCTCGACCCCGCCGCCGCAGAAGTGCTCACTGGCCTTCTGCCACAGCTTCGCCGAGATCGAACTCTGCAAATCTGCGACCAATCCTGACGGGGCGTCGACGTCGACGAAGCCTGTCCAAGCCGTGTCAGGAAACTGCCACTCGATGACCTCGCCAGCGTCTGTCGGTGGCATGGCCCAACTGATCGCCGACTGAGGATTCCACTCATTGTCTAACAGCAGGGCCACCATGGCTGACAAGGGTCCGCGAATGTGCCGCGAACGATGCTGCGGCTCGACCTGCTGGAGGCGAGCAACCACCGTAGGCCACGAAGCATGGACCCCTGCACGAAGGGATGAATGCTGCTGCCACATACGAAACCACAATCTGACACACTCCTCGGGCATACGAAGGGCTGGATCAACTGGCGTCTTCAGACCGATCAAAGTCGTGAGACAGCGGCCGCGCGCCGCTGACCCAACGGCCGCTCCGAGCCGTCGGCGGTAGGTGGTGAGGTAGCTGCCGAAGACCCCATGGATCTGGTAGGCATACGAGCCCGCGGCCTGAGCCCCGAGCCTCTCAAGCTTGCAAGCCACCTGATACCTCCTGCCCGCCGACTTGTACTTCCTTATCTTCTCGTGCATCTTGCCATACTTCTGGAACCGAGCGCGACGCGTAGCTCTGGCGTGCACGCTGCCGCTGCCCAGGTCCGTGCCAAGGTACGCCGCCGTCCGCTGCGCCTTGACCGTGAACCCTGCTCGACGCAGAGCTCTCGATACCTTGACCGCCTCCTTGAAAACCGAGCACATCACCACGCTCTTCTGGGCCACTCGAAGATGCAGTCGAGCGAGGCCTCGGCATGTGTCTCGAAGGCACCTGATCAGATCACTGGTGACTGAAGCTGCTGACCCGACGGCGCGCTGCGATAAATCATCCACCCATATGCGGTGGCCCATGCGTGGATGGGCCGTGCATATTTTCTGCAGCGTGAAGTAGACAACTATCCGTGCAAAACGTGTCCCTGACCTCAATCCTTGAACAATAGATTGGGTAGGGATAAGAGGTAAGGACCAAGCACCCCTTTGGCCAAGTGTACGAACTGCCATACACTGGAGCGTCTCGAGGCATAACACCGCAGCGGGAAATCCCAACTTCAACCCATTCGGCAGCAACACCTGCCAGCGAATACTGTCGTAAAAAGCTTCTATATCTAAAAGTCCGTGTCCTGATGGTACGCACAACACATGGCCGACCTCCTCCTGAAGCGTTCGGACGAACGCCTCGCGAAGGGCGGCGTTGCCCTGCACTGCTGCGTCCCAGTGGGCCGCCGTCTCATCGCTCCAGTCGCCCACGAGGGGCTCTCGTATGAGCGACCAGACGCGTGCGAACATCGTCAGCAAGCCGATGATGCGGTCGCCTCCACCTTTCTTCGGCAGCAAGCGGCCGAGCACCACTAGAACTTGGTGCGGCCACACCACCTGCTCTTCGCACAGCATGTACAATTGGGCCAACTCCGTGAGGGCAGACTGCGGGAGCCTCTCAAAGTCGAGAGGAGACATCTGATCAGCTCCCATGCCAGACCGTGGGCGCATCCGATGCGCCGCTGCTCGCACCATGTCCCCCGTGATCTCGGGGAGGATCTCGGTTTGAGCTCGCTCCTTTGCCTGCCGAAAACATTCCTTGACCTCCTCAACGTCATCTCGAGTAGGGCACCAAAGCTTGCGCCACTTGGCCGTCTTGTGGTCGATCACGTCCCTGGGGTGAAACAGCGTCGTGTCGTCCACTTCGACCTCAATGGGCACAAGAGGGTCGTCTTTGATGCTCTTGTGGAGCTTCCCCAAGGCTGGGGCTGTCTCCATCCACTCGCCAAACTCTCGCAGTGACGAAGCAAGCGCCCGTCGCTGGCACCTGCTAGCGATACGCTCCGCACTCTGTGCAAAAACCTCGATGTCAGCATGCTCCGCAACACGAATCGTTTTGAAGAAACTCTGCCAACGCCGCCATGATGGATCTCCATTCTTTCTGGCCTGGACTCGTAGTCCCGTGTGTGCCTGCTGAGGGCACTCTGAGACCAGCTCGCCGATAGATGTGAACAAAAACTCTCTCTGCTTGCCACCGTTCTGCCGCCTGGAGTGACGCCCCAAGCTGAAAAGTAGCGTGTGTAACCTGGCCCACCAGCCTGCTAGTTGATCACGCGACGCTGCCGCCCGATGCCGAACATAATGATGTACCACGCTCTCTTTGAAACTGGGCCCAGCACTGCGACTGACCTCAGACAAGTCCTGACTGCCATGGTGCTCGTGTAGAGAGGTTTCAACAGCTCGCACCCACGCTGCGTACAAGGAACTGGCTGCCTGGGCCGAGCCCTGAGACATAAGCCGAACGGCTACGGAGGCGAGGACCGAGGAATGAGGGGGGCACTGCACCGCAGGCAAGAAGCCCACGTCGGCTCGACATCGAGTCCAAACATCCTCGGGAACCTGAAATTCCACAGGCGACGAGTGGCCCCCATCGTCCGGAGCCTCAGACTGACTAGTTGCCTCGGGGGGTGGGGGCTGGGTACTTAATTCATTCACACTTGGAAGGTCGAAACCCTGGTCCGAAACAAGCGTCCCACCCGAGAGGACACAAGGGCTCGACCCTTGGTCAGACGCAGGGTCGACCTTCCCCGAATTGCCAGACGGCCTGGATTCGGACTCAGAAGACGCCGCCGCCACCTCAGAAGACGTGGCCGTCACCGCAGACGACGGGGAAGCCTTACTGGACGATGAAGCCGATGCCGCGACCTGGCCGATGTGAGCGATAGCGAACTCCGACTCGTGGGCCCAGGGGTCCTCCTCGTCCTCGAAGGGGTCCACGACGGGCTCGGGGGGGACGACGGCACCCATGTGTTCCCAAGGGTCCAGGCCAGGGTCCTCATCAGGATCTTGGGAGCTCCCCACACTGCACCAATCATCTTCGCACCCCTCAGGAGTCATCAGAGTGTCCCCGAAGTAGTACTGGAAACACTTCATACGAGACTCTTTCGCCTGGGCCTGTTTTTCCGCATTTCTCTCGCGGGCAAGGCTAGACTTCGATCCTGGTTGAGGCGCAGTCCGTGGCCTCGCCACCTGGGGCAGCGACCTGGGCACCTCAAGGAGGCGCGTCAGCAGCTGCTCGCCTGAAGCCCTCAGTGTCAGCAGCAGCCCCGCGTGGGGCTTCCATGGCACCGCCGAGACTCCAGTGATCGATTGGATGTAGCCCCTGGCCGACTGGGAACAGATAACGTAATCGATGATGGAGCCTGACTCGCCAGCCTCGCAGGTGACTGTAATCTGCTCGGCCTCCAGCAAGCACGGCTCCCCCAGCAGGCGGCCGAAAAACTTGGAACGACGCATGATCTCCGACTTGATGTTCCAATCGCCGACGACGATCCACGGCAACTGGAACGAGTTGAGCATTGCCCCCAGCCTCTGGAAGCGCCCGATGTTGCCTGCCCCGAACTGCACGCTCGGGTGGCCGTAGAACACGACAATGATAACGCTGTACCCTCGCATATGGACGATGACGGCCTGGAACCCGTCGAGTGCCGCCTGCGCAGGGGCCCTCAGCTTCATAGCTGAGGACTTGGTGAACACGTTCTGCATCTGCAGGTGCTGCCGAGCCAATATCCACTCGCCGCCTTCACACGACCTGTGAACCATGGCTGCACTGACCTGCTTCCGCTTCGCTCTCGCATGATTGGCAAGGATATTAACGCCAGCCCCCCTGGCCTTCTTGTCCCAAAACTTGAATTGCGACTCCACGACGTGAGTCTCGCATACCCCGATGAACTCGTACGACGACTTCGCTAAGAAATCCCAAGCTTTCTTGGACATCACTGTGACATTCGAGAAAAAGAATGAGCTGGATGTCTTCCCCGCCTGAGGCTGCTCAGGCTGCTTCACTGATGGTACGGTCCCTAGTCACAGGCCACCTGCAGGGCTGGCGTCCAGGACATCACCGTGGGCTCCTGGCACCGCCGCGCCCTTGCTGACGAGGTTGCCGTTCCCCTTGCCCTTGCCCATGGACTTGCCCAACGCCGCCTTCTGCGCAGCCAGCGCCTCGCGCTGAGCCGTGAACTTCGCGGCGGAGAGCCTCGCAGCCTCCCTCTCGATGTCGTCCGTACGGGCTTGCTCGGCGGCCTCGGCCTGGGCGGCGGCGTGAGCGGCGTCTGCCGAAGCTGCCTCCGCCGCGGCTCCGTTCCCTGCCGCAGGTGCAGGGGGGGCCGCCGGCTCGCCACCGCCTGGGGTCGCCTGGCCGTCGCCCGTGCCCGTCTTCCGCTTCTTCTTGATCCTCTCGTCGACCTCCCTGCGCACCGCAGCGGCCCGCTCCAGCATCGCCTGGATGTCCGCCTCTTTAGTGCTCAAGGTGGTCTGGAGCTCCTGCAACTGAGTATGTACCAACCGCAGCTGCTCGCGCTCCTCCTCCTCGCACTCCAGGTCGTCGAGGCCCTGGAACAAGGCCTCGTTCCACGTGACCTTGAAGCTCGGCTTGCCCTCGACGACGGGGGCAGCGACCTTGGCGGTGACACTGGTGAACATGATGCCCTCAACCTTCGCCAACGCCTCAGCGGCCGCACGCTTGGCCTTCTCGGCCTGGGCCAGAACCTGCGCGGCCTGGACCTCCTTGTCGATGGCGATGGAGAGGCTGTCCTGGAGCCTCACCACCGCTGCAACTGCCTGCGAATGTTTGCTGTCTGCATCGCGCCACGCGCCATTGGCGCGACGAACTGCTTCAGCCTCTGCGCCAGGGGCGATGGTCTCGGGGCCCTCGGCCTGGAGCTTGGATAGCTCCTGCGAGACCACCGCCTTGAGCGCAGCCGACTCCGACTTCTGAACGACCTGCTGCAGCAACGTGTTCAAGTCCGACTCCTTGGGCCCTGGAGCAGCAGGCGACTCCGACGGGCTGGTGCCTTTGCCTCCTCGCTGAGTCTTCGGCACGTAGAGTTTGACCTTACGATTGCAATGATAGCAGCAGCCCTTGTTCTCCTGCAAGCGGTCATTCCACTCGAACTTGTGGCAACCCTTGCACTGCGAGTACGCACGGCTGAAGGCAGTCATGACTATCACACTGCTCCCTGTTTTCGTCGACACCAGCAAGAACCGTCGATGGCAGCTCTATGGGTGAAGTCCCCCAAGCACCCCGTGGAGGCACAGGCGAGCGGCTCGCGCAAAATGCTTGAGCCAAATTGCTTGAGCCAAAATGGCTAGGAGGAGGTGGAGGAGGAGGAGGAGGAGGAGGAGGAGGAGGAGGAGCGAGGAGCGAGGAGCGAGGAGCGAGGAGCGAGGAGCGAGGAGGAGGAGGAGGAGGAGGAGGAGGAGGAGGAGGAGGAGGAGGAGGAGGAGGAGGAGGAGGAGGAGGAGGAGCGAGGAGCGAGCAGGAGCGACCAGGAGCGAGCAGGAGCGAACAGGAGCGAGCAGGAGGAGGAGGAGGAGGAGGAGGAGGAGGAGGAGGAGGAGGAGGAGGAGGAGGGAGCAGGAGGACCCCAGGGTGGCCGGGCGCCGCTCGCCCTGCGGAGCTCGCGGGCTGGATTCGGGCGGCCTCCGGGTTGCGGAGGGAGGGGGGGGCAACTCGGCGGCGAGCCCCAGGGGGGGAAGCGAGGAGAAGGGCTTCTCCAAAAGGCTCGGAGGTTCCCGGGCCTTCCGAGAAGTTTTCGAAGCCGTCCCCGAAGACGGAGGAGGCCTCTCAGAAGGCCAGAGGGCTTCTGAGAAGTCCCGCCGCCTTCTGAGAGTGCCTTCTCCTCCTCACTTCCCCCTTCGCTTGCCGCCGAGCGAAGAAGGGCGGCAGGAACATTAGGGGACGCTAAGTCAAGACATGGTAAGCCCAGACGGACACCGAGCACTCCGTATGGACCTAGTCCGCATGGACTTAGCATCCTATCAGGAGAGGCTAAGTCCAGGCGGAGGGAGCCCAGACGGAGACCGAGCGCTCCGTATGGCTTTACTCCGTATGGACTTAGCCTGTCATGGACGAAGGGCGGGGGGAGGAAGGCGGCAAGCAGGCATGCAGCAACGGCAAGCAGGCAAGCAGACGGGCTGGCCGCCCTGCCCCGGAAGCGCCTCCCCGCTGGTGCGGCCGAGGCCGACGCGGGACAGGCCGAGGGGCAACTGGCGGCAACAGAAATGACAAGATGGGCAGCCGACCCCTCTGCGGCCCGTGAAACCAGCCAATGCTCGGGCTGCCGCCGGCTTGCTCAGCCTCGTCGCCCTCTGTCTACGCTGCGGCCACCCGGAGGCGGCAACCGCAGGCACCTCGGGCCTGGCTCCAGCGGCTTGCTGGTCAGGCCTTTAGCCTGGCTCGGATCTGCGCCACCACCCCACGCGCTCGCCTCGGCATGCTCGCGGCCGTCGCAGCCAACACCGAGGGGAGGGACGCGGAACGGAGGGGCGAGAGGGGACGAGAATGAGAGGGGGACAGAGGAGTACAGCTGCGGCATGGCCTTGACCGCGCTCAGGAGAGAACTTCGGCGGCTCGAGAGCCAATGGCCGTCGCACGCAGCGTGTGCCATGCGCCATCGACGCGCCTGCTGGGCCTCGGCTCAGGGAGTGCAGGCAGATGGAGATGATGACTGAGGGTAGTGTGCGCAGGGGCCCTTACACCAGCAGGCCCTGCGTGCTGGCAGGCTCCTCGACCAGGTCCCCGAGAAGCCCCGCGACCCGAGCAGCGCCGTGGGTGCTCCAATGCGGCGAGTGGCCCTCGCCGGCCAGCCTGACGATGGACGACCTGGTGCGGAGGAGGCGCCGCACCTGCTCCGCATCCTGCAGCGAGAAGACCTTGTCGCCCGCACCGTGTATGATCAGGGTTCGGGCGGTTACCCTGGGCAGGAAAATATCGGGATACGACCTGTCCGAGTCGGCCAGAGCTCCCAGGATGCTGGCCGTCCACACGCGCGGCTCGCTCTGCATCGTCCAGTGCAACTTGGGGGACTTTCCAACATGCCCAGGGGGCACGCGCGGTGTGGTCAGAAAGCACCCACTAATCCCCCTGAAGACGGTAAGGCTTCGGGCTGCGCACAGACAGTCCCCCCAGGCAGTCCTGGCTGGCCTTAACAAGTCCCCCCGAGAAGTCTGCGCCAACGTCAACACCCCAGCCCTGGGGCGCGGGGCGCCCGAGGGGCGCCGCCAGAGGCGGCGCTCGGGTGTTCAGACCGCCCCAGACCACCCGAATGGCCTATTGCGTCTGCGCAGCCTGAATCCGTACCACCTGCAGCCCCAAATAACTCGACACACCTCCCCCGACGATTGCTCCCCCCTTTGCGTTCGGCCTGGCACCGCCGTGTCCACGAACCACTGGCCCGCTGTCTTGCCATTGAAGAAAGGCTCCACGACGACCTGCTCTGCGAAACCGCGCGTGATGTGGCCTGGGAGCGCGTCGATAAGGTTCAACATCACCTTTTGGGGACGGGGAATTGGGGGTCCCCAAACCGTGTGGTGACAGACCGTGCGGTAACCTCGAAATCCCGAAAGACCACCGCCATGGAGGCCCAAGTCGCACGAGACATCCTCAGGGAAGCCCCCCCCAAAAACTGTGCGGCCACGCCGAATCCCCACGGACTCAGCACACGGTGTGGTGATGGCACCGGTTGTGAGCGCCCCCCAAGGAAGTGGGAGGCCAGGCCACGGGGGCCAGACCTCTTGGGAGGCCCGGGGCTTTCGATGAGGAGAGAGCGGCCTGTTCGAAAACTAGTCGCTCCCTTCCCCGCGGCACCCTTGGGCTCTCCAAGCTCGACAACCCGAGGTGAATCGCGCCAGACCGTGCAGTCGGACCTAGGGCAGAATAACCTCCTTCAAGAACCTGAGATCCTCCGCCGGCCAAAACACACAGAACAGACAAGGGTACCCTTACCAGGATGCACAAGAACATCCAACACATACGAAAAACATGAGGGTACCCTCCCGAAACCGACCTCGATCGTATACCTCGGTCTGGCCGTAACCGAATCGAAAGGAAGCCCCTTCCCTTTGATCCCCTCCTCGCCGGGGGGAGGGGGCAGGTCCTGGGACAAGATGCGCTCGCCCCCTTCCCCTTTTTGGGTAATCTTCGGGCCAATTAGACCCTCTTCCAGCGACTTCAGCCCAAGACGTTCAAGATGGCACCAGGGCGCCCTAAGAGGCACCCAAGACGGCCCCCACGAGTGCCCTAAAAAGTTCAAATCATTGAATTCCCCAACAAAGCGTTTGACAGATTTTAGCGTCGCTTTTTCGGTCTTCCAACGCTCCAAGAAGTCCCCAAGATCACCCTAAGGTGCCCAAAGAGGGCGCCAAGATAGCCCAAGATGGCCCCAAGACGGCCCAAGAGGCCCCCAAGACGCCAAGAAGGTCCCGAGAGGGGGAACGCGGACTAACATTTCGAGCCCCCCTCCCCAGGATGACCCTCGAGTCCACCAGCATGCCCCCAAGAGACCCCCAAGGTGGCCCCAGAGGCCCCTCAAAGGTCTCCAGGAAGTCCCCAGGAGGCCCCACGAGGCCCCCCAAAGCCCTCTAAGAGGCCTCTGAGAGGCAGCCCGGGAGAGCCTCCTGCATTCAAGAGGCCTCTGGTCCACGACCCAGGCGCATTGGCGGGATGGGCCGAAGGCCACTAGATCCGCCGCGCAGGGGTGCCTGGCGTGCTGGATTATTTCGGTTTTGGTCTTGGTTCTTTTTCCAAAAAAACTCCCCCTGGGGCTTCGGCCCGTCCCGCTGGCCACCCGGAAGACCCGGTTGCAAACGGTTTTCCTGCGCCAGACGGCCCCAAGATGGCCCAAGATGGCTTCCAAGACGGCTAAGATTGCCAAACTTTGCCTCCAAGACGGTCCAAGATGCACCCAAGACGGCCCAAGAGAGTCCAAGACGGCCCAAGAGGCCCCCCTGAGGCCTCCAAGATGGCCCAAGAGGCCTCCAAGAGGTCCTCCAGGAGGTCCCGAAGAGACCTACATCATTGATTTTCCTTAGGTTTTTGAAGGATTTTGGCATTCGCTTCTTCTCGGCTTTCCGACGATCCAAGACGGCCTAAGAGGCCCCCAAGATCGCCCAAAGATCGCCCAAGAGGCCTCCACGATGGCCTCGGGACAACCCGAGAGGCCCCCAAGACGGCCCCAAGAGGGCACAAAGACGGCCCAAGAGGCCTTCAAGACGCCCAAGATGGCCTCTAAGACGGCCCTGGAGCACCCCAAGAGGGCCCCAAGTCGGCACAGAAAGGCACCCCAAACGGCTTCCGACGGCGTCAGACGGGCCAGGAGCCCACCAGGATGGCCGAAGTTGGCTCGAAGCTGGCCCAAGACGGCCCAAGAGGACTCCAAGAGGGCCTCCAGGAAGGCCAGAAAATGCCCAAAACATTGATTTTCCACAAGTTGTTGAACGATTTTGACATTTGCTTCGTTTCGGCCTTCCGACGGCCCGATACGGCCCAAGAGCCCCCAAAGATCACCCAGGAGGCCTCCAAGATGGCCCCAGAACGGCCAAGAGGCCCTCAAGACGGCCCAGGAGGCTTTTAAGACACCCAAGATGGCCTCCAAGACGGCTGTGGAGCATTCCAAGAGGGCCCCAAGTCGGCTCAGCGAGGCCCCCCAAACGGCTTCCGACGGCGTCGGACGGGCCAGGGGCCCACCAAGACGGCCGAAGATGGCCCAAGACGGCCCAAGAGGCCTCCAAGAGGACGTCCAAGAAGGCTTGAAAAGGCCAACATCATTGATGTCCCACGAGTTTTTGACGGATTGTGGCATGTTTTTTTTCGGCCTTCCGACGGCCCGAGACGGCCCAAGTGCCCTCAAAGATCGCCCAGGAGGCCCAAGACGGCCCCAAGAGGCCCCCAAGACGGCCCAAGAGGCCTCCAAGACGCCCAAGATGGCCTCCAACACGGCCCAAGAGCCCTCCAAGATGTCCTCCAAGAAGACCCGAAAGGGTCAAAATGGTCTCCAGGCGGCCTGGATGAGCTTCAAGATGCCCACGTGTTCCCCGAAGGCTTTCCGAACTGATTTGGGGATGGTCCGATAGCTTGCCAAGTCTGACCTCAACGTTCGGCCACATAGGCGCTTCCAATAAGGCAGTCAGCTGCGGTGATTCGCCGTAGGCGTCTTCGATCCGCCGCCCCCTGTAGGCATGCCACAGAAGGGGCCTGGAGTGCTGAACCCTAAACGGCTTGGTTTTGGATCTTTCCATCAAAAAATCCCCGTGAGGCTTCGGTCCATTCCGCCGGCTGCCTGCCTCGTCTGCTTTTTCGCTCAATATGGCCCCAAGACGGCCTCCGTGAAGGCCAAGATGGTCCAAGATGGCCTCCAAGCTCGCTCAAGATGGTCCACTGGCCTCGACGACGGCCCAAGAGGGTCCAAGATGCGTCCAAATCCGCCCAATAAGCCTCCAAGACGGAGCGAGATTGTCCAAGAGGCCCCCAAGAAGCCTCCAAGACGGCCCAAGAGGCCTCCAAGAGATCCTCCAGGAGGGCCCGAAGAGGTTAAAGTCATTGCATTTCCCAAAGTCTTCGAAGGATTTTGACACGTGCTTCTTTTCGACCTTTCGACGGCCCAAGACGGCCAAGAGCCCCCAAAGATCGCCCCAGGATGGGCCGACAAGCCTGCAAGATTACCCTATGACGGCCCAAGAAGCCTCCAAGACGGCCACAAGAGGGCCTCAAGATGGCCCAGGAGGCCTCTAAGACGCCCAAGATGGCCTCCAAGACGGCCCTGAAAGGGCCCCAGGAGGGCCCCAAGATCGTTCAGAGAGGCATCCGAGACGGCTTCCGACAGCGTCAGACGGGCTGGGAACGCCCTAAGATGGCCTAAGAGGCCCCCTAAGAAGCCCTCAAATGCCCCCAAGAGGCCCAAGGAGGCTTCCAAAAGCCATCAAAAAGGCTTCCGAAAGGCCAGTAGGAAGCTTCCAGGAGGCTCCAAGTCTCCTCCTCCTCCTCCTCCTCGTCCTCCTCCTCTTCCTCATTCTCCTCTCTACTCTTCCTCCTTCTCCTCCGCTTCTCCTTTCTCCCCCGCGTGTTCCCCGAAGGGTTTCCACAACGGCTGGGGGAACACATGGTCCGATAGCTTGGCAGAGTTCTGGCCACGACGTTCGGCCATATGGGCGATGCCGAAAGGTGATTTGCCGTAGGCGACTCCGATCCGCCGCTTCCTGCCGGCTTCCCACAGGGGTGCCTGGCGTGCTGAATGTCTGATGGCTTTTTGTTCGTTGTAAGACTCCCCCTGGGGCTTCGGCACAACGCGCCGGGGTGCGTGTCTCGTCGGCTTTTTCGCATAAGGTGGCCTCAAGATGACCTCCAAGACGGCCAAGATGCCTCCAAGACGGCCAAGATGGCCCCAAGAGAGCCCAATATAGCTCCAAGATGGCCTCCAAGACGGCCCCAAGGTGCCTCCAATACCGTTAAGATGGTTCAAGATAGCCCAAGGCGGCCCCAGAAGCGCCCAAGAGGCCCCGGAGATGGCCCAAGAGGCCTCCAAGGGGTCCTCCAGGACGACCCGACGAGGCCACATGTATTGATTTCCTAAGTCTTTGAAAGAGTTTGGCGTTTGCTTGTGTTCGGCCTTCCGACGGCCCAAGACGACCCGAGAATCCCCCAAGATAGCCCCAAGACTGCCCCAAAGGCCTCCGAAATGACCCCATGACGGCCCAAGAAGCCTCCAAGACGGCCCCAAGAGGGCCCCCAGACGGCTCCAGAGACCCCCACAACGCCCAAGATGGTGCCAAGACGGTCCTGAAGCGCCCCAAGAGGGCCTCAAGACGGTTCAGAGAGGCATCCAAGACGGCTGCCGACGGCGTAAGACGGGCCAGGAACGCCGCAAGACACCCAAAGAGGCCCCCCAAGAAGCCTCAAAAGGCCTCAAGAGGCCGAAGGAGGCTCCCAAGAGACCAAGAATTCCACGGATTGAGGGCGACCCGTTTTCAAAAGGTGGCTCTCGCCTTCGCACCGCGCACATTCGTTAGAAACATTTGCAAGAATTCAACGGGTTGAAAATAATCCATTTTCAAAATGTGGCTCTCGCCTTAGCGCCGCGCACAAGCGTTTTTAAACTTTGCAAGTGTCCACGGATTCCCATGATCAGCGTACCAGAAATGGCATTTTGGAAAGATTCTGGCTGTTTGCGGGTGCAACAGTTACGTTGGTTCGCGGTGTTGGAATCCCAAGAGCGGCGTTCTGGCACGATCCAAGATCGTCAAGACGCAGCAGGCAGGTTGATCCGTGGCATTGAAACCCCGAGACCAATGTTTTGGCATGCTTCAGGGTCTTCAGGCGGTTGTCTTCAAACGAGGCAGTTCCATCAATGGACATGAACCGTTGTAGGGGCATATGAAGAGGGAGCTTGGAGGGAGGGTGTATTCTAACATCGTTGATGGCTCTTGGGTTTACATTGGTCATCCTCCTCCTTGTCCTCCCCGACGTGTTCCCCAAAGGGCTTCCACAACGGCTG